CGCATGAGTGATGTCCAAGGTCCATGGATGATTAGATGTCCTGTCCAAGGTTGTTGATTGCATGCATGTATGTGTATATGTACTCGTCCGGGCGGGGATGGGGAAACTGAACCGGGAGACCGTCTGCTTCGGAGTACGAGTGTGTTGATCCGGTCGTTCCCCTCCCCTCCGCGGCCTTTCCTGCGCTCGCGCGCGGTCTCGGCGTAACTCACACTCCCTTTCTCTCTCTCGATCGCCTTCCTTTTTGAACTGATAGTCATCGCTTTTGGAGCTTCTCGTCCCCGTACAGGTGACGTCAACCGCCTGCGTCCGCGCGGACGGTCGACGCCCCCGCAAGGGGAGAGAGCTTAAATTTCGTCATCTTCCCTCGACGCACCCACTTTTGAGAGAGAAGAGTTGCGTCGATTGTATATGGATTCGGTGTTGGTTCGGATGATCGGGAACGCGGGATCTTGCCCGTGTTCATCGCGTACCTCCGACCGACTCATCTCGCTACCGACCTTCCCCATCACAGATGACGACAGCGTCTACTGCGATGCGTACGTACGGCGCCCACTGAGGCGGACGGAGCAAGTGTGTTGGCAAGACCCGCCTCGGGCGTGTGATATAAGGGGGAACGGGTTTATCTTGATTGATCGTTTTGATTCCCCGACTCTAATATTGCCTTACACGGGTTTAACGGTGTTGCCCTGGTCGGCCGCTCACGCCGCGTGGCGCTGGTGTCGCCAGGGGGATTCGTGTTCTTGGCGACGACTGGTCCTGGGTTGCGACGGAGCGACGCGTTTCCCCGAGCTGTCCCGCAGTGCGGGGATGCTGCCCGCGCAATTTCGAATTCGGATGCCGACGAGTCCTCCCGCCACGTTACCCTCCCGGGAACTTTCGCGCGGACTCTGTGAGTCCGACGCCGAGGCTTGACGGCCTCGAACCAACCACCTCTACAGCAAAGACCCGAGGGTTCGGTCACTTCGTGAGAACCGAGGATGAGGCCTGAAGGCTTCGAACCTACCACCTATCCCCCAAACCCCTGACGACCGAAGTTTTGCCCTTCGCCGCCATGACCCTCTCCCCTTGATGCCTTTTCCCGTCCTGATGCACGACGGCACTTCGTTTTCGCGGAAACCTTTTTGATTTTATTGTTTCGGAGCGATCCGACCCCCCACGGGACTTCGCGACGACAGTTCGACTGCGGGGGAAAACCTCTGGCACGAAACGAGGGCCTCCCGTTCAGTCCGGGAGACTCAACCCTTACGACCAAAAATCCTCGGCCATGCCCCTCCTAAAACTTTGATCGGCGACCCCGTACGGGACACCGCGAGGGGCCGTAAGGTTGGTATCAGAGCTGATTCGTTTCGGCTCCGAGGTTTTCCTAGGACGATTACCCTGTTTTAAAGTTTTTCTTTTTTCTTTTTGATCTTTTTATTAGATTTTTCACATTTTTGAGTAGGCTGGCTCCCCGTCAACGGAGGCCCGCGAATAGCAATCAGAACCGAGCGAGAGGTCGGGCTCGAAACCCACCTCCCGCAATGGTGGAACCCCGAATTGGGGGTGAAAACGACGGTGACAACCACGCGGGGATGGACAATCATCCCATTTTCTCCGAAGATGACACCGACCCTCGCAACTAGCTAGCTGCCTTGAAAGCACAGGGCTGGTCGGATCAGTTGCTCCGAGAACGAATTCCCGGAAGGTTAGCCGGAACCGCTTTTGAGTGGTATGGACATAACCCCTTCACTAATTGGGCAGCCTTCCAGAGGAAATTTCTCGATAGATTTGATCACATCGCACCAGGTCAATGCCTCCGTTTAATAAAGGAATACGCGCAGCAGCCTCGGGAGACCTTGGCCAGATATGCTGAACGTTTTACGTTATTAGCCGAATGCTCCGGGGTGGACGAGAAAATGGTACGGACTGATTTCGTCAGAGGACTGTCAGATTCTCGTCTGCGGAAAAAGATCCGCAAGAAATGCAACCCTATGGAACATACCCTGACGGAGGTAATTCAGTACGCAATTAAGTATGGGAAAGAAAACTACGATGTGGGCCTGGACTCAGAATCTGACGAAGATGACCCTTCGGGTGTTCGACACAATAGCTACTCCGCCACGACACGAATGTTCGAAGATCGCTTCGGGTTGGGTCCGGCAAAAAAAGGCGTGGATCGGAAAGCTTCTTCCTCTGCTTCGGCCTCCCGTCGCCCTAGTCGGGCACAAGGGGGCCGCGGTGAGAAAGAAGTCTCCATGAAGGAGGTCGCGGCACAATTAGTTACGGTAGTGGCCCCGTTGACGGAGTTTGTTCAAGGCCTGCAGCGGCAACGCTTAGCCGCCGCACAACGGCAACAAGCGGCTATGGTCGTCGGGGCCCCTATGATGGGACCGACCGTGGCCGGGGCTGTCCAGTCCCTACGCTGTTATAACTGCAATCAGCCAGGTCACCTTGCGAAAGATTGCCCGAAACCTCGAGCTCAGGGTGGGCCCGCTGGGCCTTCCCAAATCCCGTTGGCTGCTCCAACCGTTGCAGGACAGGGGAGGGTGGCCACGGTGATGGATACCGGGGCAACGGAAATGGTGACCCCTGCGGCCACCGAGATAGGGCCCGATGAATACATGGCTGCGGCGATGTTCGAACCCAGGACCATCGGAGTGATACGTCACGTCCAACGAATTACCGAAGAGAGCGACCTCGGGCCGTGGCGACCAGGGTTCGAAGACCTGTGGCGCCTGGCCCTGAATACAAGGATGGCCATATCGACGTATTGGATGCCTTGAAGGCTCTGGATCTTCGGATCCCCGTCCCTATTCCCAATCTGTTAACCATTTCCGAAGCGGCTAACGAAAAGTTGATCGAACGGTGCCTCAAAAACAGGCGCCGATTCGAGGAAAGTCGAAAGGGCAAAAAGCTGGTCCTACGGGACCTACCCACAAACGACGAGTCGCAGCCCTCGACCTCAAAGGTGCACGAAGCCGACCGGATAGGAATGATCCAAACCGTAGATTCTTCCTCGGAAAAACCCGAGGTATTCCTTCGAGCCTATCCTATAACCTGTAAAAGCGTTGAGTGTGACTGCGAGGTTTGGGGAAATCCCTCGGCCGCCATCCAAGACTCGGGATCGTCGGCGGTCGCCATTTCTTGGAGATTGACGAAACAGTTGGGAAGGGAAGGACAGGTTCAGCCCCTTCGACCGGATGAACTGTATATATCCGCTACGAAAGACAGCATTCAGTGTATAGGGAGAATAACGAAGGTGCCTATACGGGTGGGGCGGGTGCATTGTTTGTGTGACGTGATCATGCTGGATGTACAGGCGTATGATGTTCTGCTAGGCATTCCGTGGCAGGCGGCGGTCAGAGCGCGAATGCACTTTGACAGTTGTAAGGTGGTGCTCATATCGGCCCACCCCAAACCCCAAACGATACCAATGAGACTGGCGGTGCGTATGCGCACCCAGCCGGCGCCTCGCCTCACCACGAAATCCCATCAAATCAACATGATCCGACGCCTGTCACTCGACGAAAATGAACCCTCGACGGAAACTGACGAGACTGATGTACCCGACCGATATCCGATCCGAGTTCAGGATCGGTGGCGCCATTCTTGGTGGCGAGAACCACTGGAAATAGTTCGGAGCGAGTCCAGTTGGTCGCACGCGTTCTCCCTCGTGGTGCCGGGGGAGCCCCATCCGAGGGTGTCCCGAATAGCTGACCTTTCGAAACCCCCTGCGTCCTTATATCTCAGGACGGACCCCCTACCTGAAAGATTTACCAAGCTGAGGGGGCTGTGCAATTTATCTTTTCGACCTCCAGGGCCCCTACTTACGAATGAAAAAAACGTGATACTCTTGAAAGACGGGGTGTCATTTCAACCCCAGACAAGGGAATATCGGTGGGGACTGAGGGAACTGGAGCAGGCCTTTTCGGTAGAACCCTCGGCCGAACCCGAACTGGACAGCGGCGGTGACATGGAAAGCGAGCCGATGAGTCTGGCGGATAGTCAACTTATTGCGACTGTCCTTTCGGCGAAAACCGATAACTCTTTGTTTCGAGCCTTGCCCGATGCCTGCGCGGCGGTCCCCACGGTTGTGACGACGGTCTCCCTTCCAGGGGGAACCGTAGAAGTTCAGTTACCAGCCCGTGTTCCGGATGAATACCGATGCCTCCTCCTGGCGGTTATATGGGCTTATCTTGAGGCCGCCAGTATTCAGGACCACGACATAGGGCTAACCCCTTTGATACAACACGCGATTGATACCGGGGATCACGCCCCGATACATTGCCGACCGTACCGATATTCCCTTAAAGAAAGACAGCTGGCTTTGGAAAGGGTACGGGAATTCGAGCGGTTGGGGTGGGTCGAACCATCGTTGGGACCGTGGTCTTTTCTCGTGGTCCTTGTACCAAAACGAAATGGTTCAGTCCGGGTATGTATCGACTACCAAAAATTGAACGCTATCACTACCTAAGACGTGTATCCCTTGTTGTGAATCGACGATCCGTTAGATGCTATCGGGGCCGCTCTAGTCTTTTCCAAGTTCGATATCCGACACGGTTTTCACCATGTCGCAGTCCGAACGGAGGACCGACCCAAAACCGCTTTTGTCATATTTGAAGGCACGTGGCAATGGGTCCGGTGTCCCATGGGAATTCACAATGCCCCTGCCACGTTTCAACGGGCCATGAATATGGCCTTCGCTGAGTTCATTAACAAAACCCGACTGACCCAGCCCCTGATCAATTTCTGCGTGATTGTGTACATGGATGATATTTTGGTCTTTTCAAAAACACACGAGTACCACATGGAACACATCGAGTGGGTTTTGCATGCACTAAAAGATGCGGGGTTCAAAGTGGCCTTGGAGAAAAACAAGTTCTTCTTGTCGGAGATCTCATTCTTGGGGTACATCGTCACGGTCGATGGACTAAGACCGGATCCGAGGAAGGTGGCAGCAGTTCAAGAAGCCCCGGCGCCGATCACACTCACCCAGGTTCGGGCTTTTCTAGGGCTGGCATCCTATTACCGACGCTTCATCAAGGGGTTCGCCGGTATAGCGAAGCCCCTCACGAACCTGCTGAAGAAAGAGGAACAGCTGATCTGGACGCCGGAATGCGAAGCGGCGTTTCAGGCGTTGAAGGAGGCTCTGACATCTGCTCTTTTATTGGCGCGCTCTGACCCGACAAGACCTTTCGCACTGTACACAGACTGGCAGCCTCAGGCGATATCGGTGGTGCTGACTCAGCACGGGGCGGACGGAAGGGAACACGTCATTGAGTATGCGTCCAAGACGCTGAGCCAGACGCAAGCTAATTACGAAGCGTGCAAAGGTGAATGCCTGGCGGTGGTGTGGGGGATCCAACATTTCCGACTGTATCTTTACGACCAGAAATTTGTGCTGGTAACGGATCATCAGCCGCTGATGTCCCTACGCAACAACACGGACTAGACGGGGATGCTGGGCCGGTGGGCGGTGCGTCTGCAAGACTATGACTTCGACATCCGCCACCGTGCCACGCGGCAGCATGGTAACGCCGATGGATTGACGCGCCTCCTGCCGCCCAACAAGTGTCCCGCCAACGAGCGACTCATTCCGTGGAGGCCAGAAGTCGCGGCGACGAAACCCCACTACGGGGAGCTACACGTACTGCGCAAGAACAACACCTGAGTCCGAAATGGAGGTTTCGCTGGAGATGGCAGACACTACCTCTTCGCCCTCATCCAACTCCCTCGCTCTCTCGTCTAGTCCCTGCTCGTCCCCTGAAACATATCTAAGTCCCTGTTTCTTTTGTACCTTGCCTATGGTTCCGGAACCAGAAGGGTCACATCTGGGAGGGCCCAGTTTTCTTTTATGGGTACAGTGTAGTCAGTGTCATACGGTGAAATCTCACGGATAGTGCGTTAGGTACCGAAGTGAAAAGACATGGGTCTGTCCCAACTGTAGAACGGACCAAGTCCCTACCGAGAAGCGGTATCTGGATGCCAGAACAACCGACGGATTTGCGCCAAGTGCCCGCCGGGCAGAAGTCTGGACGGACCTTCTATTGCTACGGAGGCTGTCAGGCGACTCGCTGTCAGAACTTACCAAAGCCGAGAGGCGGAGAGTGACGGAGCGGGCGCAGGACTATCGCTGGCAGGGACTGACATTACAAAAACGGAAGGTCGATGATGACGGAGGGTCTAGCTGGTTGACGGTTCCACACCCTCTCGCTAGGTTCGACTGGACACGAGCCGCTCATGAAGAGGATGCGGTCCATTTCGCGGTCAAGTACACAGAAAAAGCCATCGAAAAGAACGGATGGTACTGGTCGGAAATTCAGGAAGATGTGAAATACATCGTCCATAATCGCCCGGCCTGCGCAGCGGACAAGGCGCCGGTACAGATGCCTCGGACGATTGTGCCCACTCGTGTAGAGCGCCCCTTTCAGAGGGTTAGCATCGATACGACGGATGTCAACGTTCCGGGAGGTCTAATCGATCAGGGAGAGCTCAATGTTCTTTTAGTAGCCGTCGATCATTTTTCGAAATGGATCGAGGCGTACCCTATGACCAGCCGGAATTCGCAGGAGGTAGCCTGGTACGTAAATCGATTTCTATGTATGCATCTAGACGTAGAAGAGGTACACATGGACAATGGGTCGAAATTTCAAGGCGAAGTAGAACGTCACCTAGTCATGGCGGACGTTAAGATTATCTACTCACCGGGGCATTGGCCTCAAGCCAATGGCCTGGTAGAGAAAGCCAACCGACTGATTAAGACCACCCTTAGACGGAATATCACTACGGGAGACACCCGGCCCTGGCCGGTCATTGTCGATCACATCTTGGCCGTTTATCGGGCCACCCCACACGGTAGTACTGGGGTGTCCCCCTTTCAACTGAGAACCAATAGTGTCCCTCGGGTGCAATTGTCCCCCTTAGTAGGTACGGAAGTTAGAGCATCACGGGCCAGAACCGAGATAAGGCCCACCACTACATGGACTTAATGGCTAGGGCATATCCCCCGTTAGCTCGCCGTCGACAGCGGGCCGTAGATCGGACACATCAACGGCAGATCCGTGACTACGAGAATCGACACGCGTTGGCGGGACCACTGCCTCGCTATTAAATAGGGGACTTGGTGTAGGTACGAAAATCCGTGCGCTCCTCCAAAGTCCACCCACGCTACACAGGCATTTACGAGGTGACGGAAGTTGGCGCACGAGGCCAGCACTCCGTGAAGCTGGTCCCCAAGCACAACTCACAGGGCCGCCCGCTGACGAGGCACGTTGCTGCCCTCCGGCCTTTCCGGCCATCGCTAGATCTCGTGCGGCCACCTGTCCTGCCCGAATCACCTGCTCCGTCCCTCTCTCGTGCTCCTTCGTCCTCGCCTCCTTCTTCCCCTTCTCTCGGATCAACGTCGTCGGCATCCGCGGAAGACCTTGCCTCGCAGGATGAACCATCGCCAACAGGAGCATGAACTGCTCGAGCACTTCCAGTCGCCCATCTCTGACGCTCTTCTCCGGAACTGGTTCAACGACGATCGGCAGCTGCGCTTCGACATTCAGCAGGTGAACGTGCCGGCACCCAGCGTTGCTGACTTGGCGGTGTACTCGCTCCTCGCGCAGTGGGTGACGTACGCGGGTGTCTATGTCGACATATCGCCCGTGCCTGGCCAGGAATCCACGCGAGTGTTCATCGAGTTACGAGCCATCCAGGTGGCGACGAACTTTGTGCACAGCGTCGCTACTCTCACCGGGGATTTGACCGTCTTGTCCGGGCACGATCGGGAGCCGGCGTCCAGATTCTTGCGCGATTACGCCCTTCAGGTGGCGAGATCGGTGGCGCGAGTGCAGGCGAGGGGCACTCATCGCTTTACTGCATACGAAGGACTTCTGCGGCGGACTCCGGAGGGAGCCCTTGCATTGGTGCCGCAGCTTCCCGCGCTCCTTCCTCCCGCCGAGCCCCTCAACATCCAAGCGATCCCTCCCCCTTCTCTCTAAATGCCTCCTTTCTTCTCTTACACTACCCTCCCTTATCAACTGACACAGCTCCCCTATCCTATGCGCAACTTTCCCGAGTACCTAGTGGAGCTGACGGACGTGGAGCAGTTGCCGCCCGCCGACGAGGACGCGTGGGAGCTGCATCGGGCGCTGTATTCATCAGTGGTACTCGGCATGTTCACATTCTTCGTGGAGCACGAAGTTCATAATGTCGGCAAGTTTCTCCACGTATACTACGTGATCGCCAAGCCAAAGTCGGAGCAGGAGGGAACAGTGGCGCTTTATCCTTTCGGGAGGATCGGAACGAATCGCCCGGGGCTCTTACAGCTCATTCACATCGAGCTGCTGTCCATTGCGCCAGTAATCGCCGCGGAGGAAGAAGACTTGCAGCTCAGACTACGGACCGCCTCAGCTCCGTGCAGATCGTATAACGCGGCGGTGATACCTGACTACCTGGCGCGTGAGGGGGAATCCGTGGTGGACTTCGGGCATGAAGATAATTCATTGCGGCCTCCATCATCGTATCCAAAGCCGGCGGCCCTGAAGGCACCAAGAAAGAGAACCGTCTCGAAGCGGCGACGAACTCCATCGCCGGAAGCTCAAGCCAGTCGAGTGGGGCCGGTCGACGAGGTCGTCCAGCCTACGCCGGTGCGCGAAGTCGATCCGGTTCGCGAGAGAAGAGTCACACTCGCCATCGGGCCCCGACCGGGGGAGGACCGCCCCGTCGAAGAACCGCGGAGATCCACAGGCCATCCGGAGTCGACACCTCAGCGGCCCCGCCTCCCCAATCTCAATAGCCATGCAGCCGGGCCATCAGGCGCAGGGGGGGGATTGGGACGAGTTCCATATCCCGCATCCAGACCCCCCCTCCTTGCAGGACCGTTCCGATTTCGCCAGCCCGCCCGGGATACCCCGGTCATTGACATAAGCACTTCCCCCGAGCCGGACGGTCCATCAAACTGACGTGGATCACATGGTGGAACTGGCCACCCTCCGGCTTGAGGCCATCGAGGGGGCGCCACCTCCTGATCCGGCATGGGAGGCGTTCTTGCAGCCTCCATTCGATGGATGCATAACGGCGAGGTTGGTGGGCACGCTCATCTACGAGACTGGAGGGCGGCCCAATATTATGTACCATATCCTGGTCTTGCGGCGGTTAAGCGGGAGCGGAGGCCGTACACGGAGACCCATTTGGTGTTGACGGGTCCGCGAAATCGGCCGTTGCGACGACAAATCATTCGAGCGATCGCCGATCTTGCGCCACGGGTACTCTCGCATGTGCCGGGGGCTTTCCTTTACCCCTCCTTTGTCCAGCACCACTTCAATGAAGTGGAAGTGCCGGCCAACTTGGCCGCGCTCGCGGCGTTTCTTCCTCCTCGTCCTCCCCATTTCAATATAGAGATTGATTACTTCCTATGATCATCTCCACCACTGCCTCTTTCTTTTTTTTTTTTTTCTTCTTTTCCGGATCTAAAGCTCGCGCGATGATACGCGCTGTGTCTTTTTTTTTCTTCTTTTTTTTTCTTCTTTTTTTACTTACCGACCGGGCCAGCTGACGATGAAGGGGCCGCCCGATCGAATGTATACTATGGGAGGAGGCAATATAGGATGCAGGATGCATCCACGTAGATTAGGAAGATGATCAGGCCAGCTGACGATGAAGCGGCCGCCCGATCATCCAAGATATGATGATATAAACAGTCGGGAGACTGCTAGTTTTTGGAACCCCCTGCGTATCACAGATGTGATAAGGTCAGATCCCTACCGCGCGGCTTGCCGATCCCTGAGGAAAAATCTCGCGGAAGCCCCGAAGTACGGACGCGGATAGAAAGGGTTTTTTTTTCTTTTTGCTTTTGTTTTCCTTTTGAAACGGCTTTTTCATTTTGTTTGGTTAATAACTCCCGCGAGCGAATAGCGGGTGCGGTATGAAAACCAAGAAACGGGTGCGGTTGGGACTTTATGAATTTTTGTGCGCGCGTGCCCAAGCTCCGATTTCTTCGCGTGTCTCGCATCCCCGTTTCTTGCTTTGCATCCTCGCGCCATCTTCCCTTCTTGCTGCGCGCATTTTCCCCATGCCGGACTCTTCGTCTTCCCCTTCGCCCAACTCGATCTTTACCCCGCGAAGTGATTGGCCGCGTAGTTGGGATGCTCGGATCAATGTGGAGAGTGGGAAACCGCGCGCCACTTGAACGGACACCCCAATCACGTAGGACCATGCCATCGCGCGGGTCGAACCCTCCAACTCCCCACCTTCCTCCTATCCTGCTCATCTACAACCTGCGCTGCCCGCACCTCGCGCTGACAACCCGCCGCCTCCCGCGCTATAAATTCGCGCAACCCTCTCCTCTCTCTCTC